GGAAGATAGAAGCACAGAGTGCCCAAAATGTGTGAAGGGCTGTTTATTAAACCAATAACTAAAAGCGCTAATTAACTCACTAGGGCTGCAAAACTAATCGACATGGAGCCATTTTTTAAAATGTATTTTATTTTTCATCCGATTAATCGAACTTAATAATCTTAATAAACTAATCGATTTTGAAAATAATCGTTAGCTGCAGCTCTAGAACTCACAAAACTAGCCTAGGTTCTGAGGAAGGGGACAAGCCCCGACACGCTTCAGCCGCTAGTACACGCACCAACGGTGAGGCGGCATGCCAGCTTGCTAAAGCTTGGCACCTGTACTTTACATGGAAAGGGGTCTATGTGCCCCTGGTTGGTTGAAACTGATTATTGTTGCGCTATTTGGCTACTTTTGTGAGTATATTACATTTTATTTATTGGTTTTAAAAAAACGGTCCTTCACACATTTTGGGCTCACTGTTACTATCTTCCCGATCCTTTAAGCCTGATTCACACCTAGGCGGCACTATTTTTGCGCGTTTCTACGTGCGTTAACAGCATGCGGTTACTTGCGCATTATGCACATTTTAATACGCGTACAAGAAGACGTGCGTTTTGACTGGCAGCTCATAAAACATTGCATGCAATGGAAGAACGCGCGTAGAAACACGCAAAGACGCTTACGAAAATGTGCAACATGCTTCTGCCGCACGTTTTTGGGCATTTACAATGAAGTCTTTGGGGCAAAAAAAAGTGCTTTTATCTGCCAAAGAAGCTCATGTACCTTTTTGGGGGTTTGGCGTTTTTCTGCTCGGGTGTGAACCAGGACCATTGAAAAACATGGGATTCCTTGTGTTGGGCATTTAAAAGCGCTTTACGAACTGCTCAAACTCCTAGGTGTGAACCGGGTCTTAAGGTCCCCTGGTCCCTTTTTATGGAGCAGCCCTCTGTGTGATTGACGATTGTTAGGAGAAGAAAGATCGCTTGCTGAAACTAGCACCGGGAGTGGATGTTTGTATTTAACTACTCATTACATCAAGGGGTAGAAGAATCTGCTGTAATACTTGTCTTATTCCTCCCTCCCTCCTCTCCGATGCTCTAAGTTATGGGCAGTCTCTTGTCGTCCGCACATAAATTGTAGGACTGCTGGTCCTGCATTGTACATGATAATAGCACGTGATAATGTCAGAGCTCAACTGCCGGCCGGAGCACCTTAGAGAAGGGGCTATGAGGGACCAGTCGCACAGCCTGGGGGTAGCCTGCCGGAGGAAGGGATAAGCTGAGTATTACAGGTTATTCTTCCACCCCTAGATTTAACAGAGTTGTAAAGTCCCAGCATATATCAGCATTGTAATAGGAATACATACCAGAGTTGTTTTTGATGCAATCAAAGCATACTTGAAAAAAATCCCTTTTATGTAGTGAGGCCTTTGTCCGTAAGGGGTCAATGGTCTCTAATGAACCTGCAAAGACAATGAAGTGAAAGGCTTGGTACTGTGGATGGCTGTTTCTTTACCCTGTGTCCTGTCACTTTAACTTCTTTCCTGAAAGTCAGGAATTTCCATATTTACTCAGTGTGCTTGATTGATTGATTGCTCCCTGTAGACTTTTGTTTGACTTTCTGGGTCTACAGAGTGTCACGCATGTGACTGTGCATGTACTTTCATGCGTGCGTCTCTTTTCTACAATGTTAAGAAAACACTAATAGTTTATCTTTTTTTTTTTCCTAAGGAGTTTTTTGTAGCCTTGCAGCTGGTGGCCTGTGCGCAAAATGGTATGGAGGTGTCACTCAGTAGCATCAAGAAGGTGGTGCCTCCTCCCAGATTTGTAAGTTCTTCTTTTTTTTTCCCTTTTATAGCTGAATTGTAAAGGTCAGTTGAAGTCACATAAATAATCAGTTAATAAGCCGAACTTCAGTCAAAAAGAAAAATGATTTATGTTTTAAGGTTATGCTGTTATATGCTGAGCTCAGCGACTTGTGCTCCTTATACGTTTCCACTGATATTGTACAATGGCTTTGATCTTTGTATGTTGATCTTTGCATGTTTGTCTTTATAAAATCCTTAATAAAAACTTATTGAAATAAAAATGCTTTGCCGATGAATGATGAGTAAAGTGGCTTTTGCTGCAAAATTTACCTTCAGGCTGACTTCTGCAAAACTTCTTTGCCACTAGATTCCCTCAGTCTTCCATTTTAAATGGAAGGCAAAGATCATTCAACCCACTTGAGCTGAGCCCAGTCTGTCATTGACTTGCACCAGCCATTGGCTGGACAATGAAAGGAGAAGCAGCACACTGATTGGTTATTACTGGTATTTCTATAGCACCAACAATTTATGCAGCACTTTGCATAGTACACATGCACATCAGTCCCTGCCCTTAAGGAGCTTACAAATCTAAGGTCCCTATTGCACATACATACAGGGACAATTTAGACAGGAGACAGTTAACCTTTCAACATGTCTTTGGAGTGTGGGAGGAAACCGGAGTACCGGAGCAAACCCATACAAGCACAGAGCATGCAAACTCCTTGTAGATGGTCTCCTGACCGGGATATAAACCGGGGACCCCCAGTTCTGCAAGACAGAAGTGCTGCCCATGAGCTCATATCTCTGCTTTCTCCTGCTAGCAGAATGCTGCTTGTCAGCACATAAACTGATTGGCTCCTTGTGCTGATTTTTCCTTTCTCAGTCTGAGCTCTGCTACACAGAGACTGCAAGAGACTCAGATGCTGGTAGTTACACCAATTGCATTTAATGATGTACAGTATTAATGATTACAAAGCTGCATTAATATGATTATTTTAGATCTGCCTGAAGTTCAGCTTTAACAACCCCCATTTCAATAGGCTCCCCTCCACTTTTCATATTTGTAGCAGTTTGACAGTGAGATAAGTTGCCTGTGTCATTGGGCTTTGGGCTCGTGTTGATGTCATCAGTTAGACATCAGTATGAGACTTGTCTGAGATCATTCATTCATAATTCATTCATAGATGCATGTGGTGATCTCCTGACCTGCATTTGAGACCCGGACAGTGTACAACAGGACTGTGCTGCCACAGGTCTTTTAGTGTAATAGTTGGTGGGGGGACGGTATATGGTTTTTTAGTATGAGTACAGAGACAAATATGGAGACTGACTACAATGACCTCCCTTTAAAATCAAAAAAATAAATTGGTTTGAAGCGGTTTCAAGACTGTCCATGCGATTGTGCAGGCAGGTCGTTCTTTGTCCTTTTACCAAGAACCTCTTTACACTACAGTATAGTCGTCTGCCAGATTATTCAACTTTCACAATATGTTTTTATGGCAATAATAATATATAGAGCAGCCCCAACATTAACTTAGGTAGGAGAAAACTGACTTGCCTTCTTGGTATACCATCTAACATATCTACAGGTACGGTTCACAGGTTGTAAGCTTTTATACAGTGCCCACTGATCAGTTGATTTAAACATAATTGTTTGTGTTCTTCCTCAGCATGACTCTGCAAGCCCCTCGTTGGTAGCTGCCCCCATCTCTGCGGACCTGCCGTGGGCAATCAGGGTGAGCTAGCTATGTGATTTTTACTCTTTGTTACTTAAGAGATTGTACATAAATGTTATGCTGCGGCACAATACAACACTCCTTGAATATCCTAAAGGGAATTGAGAGGTGAAAGTATTTGTGTTCTATTTAAATTCCTTGAGTATTTCTTGCACTGTACTTGAAGCAACAATAGAATTAAATTGGAGGTCTCTAGTCTTCATTAGCAAAACTACACTTGGTCGTAGACGGCTCGAATTTTGCCTGTTCAGCTTGAATGAAAAAAAATTGCTGGCCATTGTATTCACAGTAGTTGTAGGACTTGAAGAGCCAAACCAATTAAAATAGTCCAGGCAGAACTTATTTTTGTTTGTTAGGGTCAGGTGACATTCGAGTAGAAAAGCCATTGCAGGGAAATTTATCAAAACTGGAGCAGCCAGAATCTGGAGCAGTTGTGCAAGGGAACCAATCAACATCCACCGTTTCATTTTCAAATCTTAACTGAGCATACTGAAGACAGAAGCTAATTGGTTGCCAAAGGCAACTCCTTCAGATTCTTCTCGTCCAGTTTTAATAAATTCCCTCCAATGTCTTTTGGGGACCCAGAACAAAGCTCCTTCATCAGGGCTTAATAGGAGGAGTCATGTATGTGGACTACAATCCCTACAGCTTGAAAGTTGTATTGAACTGTGATGGGAGTACTTCAGGCTTGTCAGCAGAAGTTTTGGCAGGTTGCTTTGCAAAATGCAATGGATTCCCTACTCGAATGTCCCCTGACCCTAATGGAATAAGGTTGTATCTGGACTATTTAAATTGGCGTGGTGCTTCAATACCTACATCTACTGTGTTTAGCATCGAGCCAAGCATACTGTGGAGATTCTTTGGATCGTGGAAGCTACCTATCAGTTAGGCAGATTACACATATACATATCACTTATCTAATACCGAGTAGCACCAAGAGAATACATTTCAGGCCTCTTTCTTTGCACACCTCCAGATATCCATACCAGACTTGACCATTGTATTCAGACTGCTGGAATATATGAACAGTGACTACATCTGATAGGATGCAGTCGCTGTTTGGCTTTTCATTTTACACTCAGCTCCGTTGATCTTAAAATCAACTTTTGTTGAACCAGGTAGTGTTTGCAGGGCCACAGACCGCTCACATTTCGTCCAACTCTGCAGGATTCAACTAACATTTCAGCCATCTATGGCCAGCTTTAGGGCCCATATCCACTATTGTAATTTGTCTTTGTCTTCAGAGCAACTTTTTTTTTAATAAGTAATTTACCATAGTGGTACAGCATGCAAACCATATTCATTTGCTTAAATAAAATTTAGAAAGTTGATTGGTTCTTAAAGCAAAAATTTTAATAATACATACAAAAAAACAGCTAGCAGACATTGCATGGCTCTTCTTTCCCCGGTCTCTTAGCAATTCTTTTAAAATAGTGTGCACTACCTTGGTGCATGCGCAATGCAGTGTACATCCGGGCTCATTCCTGGTGTCTGTTAGATCCTTGGGAATGCAGTCGGGTGTGGAGACGATGTAACTCCTGTGCACGTGGGTTTTGCTCAGTAAGTATATCATCAACTATTTACTTCTTTATGAAATATGTTTTTTGATTGGTTCACAGGCAGAAGAAAAGTCCAAATATGATGCAATATTTGACAGTTTAAGCCCTCTGAACGGATTCCTATCGGGGGACAAGGTGAAACCTGTGCTGCTCAATTCCAAGTTGCCTGTGGAAGTGCTGGGAAGGGTGAGTGTGGCAGTCAGGTGTCTCCCCTTGCTTTTGCCTTGTATTGTGTCATGCTCTGCTGGTTATTAAACTCTTTATTTGTATTTCTTTTAGATGTACTAAATCACATGCTTTTTTCAGGTCTGGGAGTTAAGTGATATTGACCATGATGGACTTTTAGACCGTGATGAGTTTGCAGTTGTGAGTATTTAGTTTGCTAATTAATAATGTGTTTGTCTTCACCACACCCTCCATAAAATTTCCTCACGTCTGTTACAACGGTTCATCATTTCTGTATTGAGATTAAGGCTGGAGTCAAACTGTTCTGTGTAAGGCACATAATGCACTCAAATAGGTGTCGCTGAGCCCATAGAGTTTCCCTTTATTTTCACACAAATCTAAAGCACATAGATGTGAACTAGCTACGCAGTAGAGAATGGGATTTCTACTTGACATGCATTTCATGCAGCAAAAGTTTTGCTGCACCAAAGCAGACAAGTGTGAATAGGCCCTTAAGGAAACCTGTGCTAAGAGAAAAAGGCAGTCTGCTAGTGCCGACCTCTCTTTCAGAAAATTCTAGTTGCCTGGCTTTCATTCTGGTACAATGGCTTCAGTAGCCTTTGCATCCTTTACCTGGACAATGTCTGCAGATGAAGAGTTCTGACTTCACTTTCTGCTTACTTGCTCTTGGTCATGGACTTAATGCTAAAGCCCACAGGGTCTGCATGCAGCCGGCTATCTTGCTTTTTCAGAATTATGGCCTTTGTGACGACTCAAATATATTTTTCAGTGCTGGTTTCCTTTGAAAAGTACTATTTCATTTCTCAGTTCAAACACACCAGTATTAAAACACCCCTCCCCACACACAGCCTATTTCTGGCCTGTAGGCAACCTCTCATGCCTATAGCTACCATTCTCATTTACTGCTGGGATCCCCAACAATGGCCTGCTTAAATTCCTGGTACTTCTGTGTATCGGAGACCCAGATATGTTCCCCTGTCCTCCCACAATGCAAAGCTCAGTGTCTTAGTGACTACCCACCAACTCCGAGTCCCAGTCCTTGGGGAGCAGATTGGTATGAATAGCAGAGTGCAGGAACTGACTTTAAGGGGAAATGGATTCTTGCATAGATCTTAGATGGCTACCAAAGAGGCTGACATGAAGTACAGATTACGAAGGGTATTTTTGGGGGATTTCGTGTGAGTACAGATCCACTTTAACTGTGCTTTACATAATGCCTATTATGATACAGTCTTCTGAGAAATATGATACAGCGAAAAAAAAGTTTTAAAAAAGTTTAAAAAAAAGTATCATGGAGATAATGAAACAGGCTGCTAACATAATCTCGGCTTTGTTTGTGCAGGCAATGCTTCTGGTGTACTCTGCTCTGGAGAAGGAGCCAGTTCCTATGGTATTACCTCCTGCATTGGTGCCACCATCCAAGAGGAAGTCCTCTGGTCCTGCATCATCCTTGCCAATCATCCCACCACTGCCAATGCCACCATCTAAAGAGCCACGACATTCGCTGCCACCTGTAGGAATCCTCCCCACTAAAGCACCTGTTACACAAGTAAGAACATACAAGCTGCTGAGCGAGTGAATGTATGTCCTACACTACATAGATATGTCTGATTATGTTCAGTTCCACTTCTACAATTGCTGAAATAAATCTCTTGGGCTACAGTCACAAACTCCTGTACAGGCAAGTTTATTAGACCGTTTATAACCGTGAGAAAAGGTTTAGAGATGTTAGAAATTCTTATCTTTCCAGCGGAATTCGTGTAAATTTGCTTTGCATTAGTGCTTGTAATACTCTTTCAATCATGTTTTTATAAGAGGGGCATAGTTCTATCTTCAGATACAGACACTGCTTGCAATAAAAATACATTTAATGACATAAATTTATTTTCAGCGGTGTAATTATATGCACCTTTTATATCTGCCTGAAGATGGGTTTTAAAGGAGAACTATGGGGTCAGGGCTTTTCCCCATAGTTCTCCTTAGGGTACCGGGAGGACACAAACTAGCGTCCTCCCGTATACTGAGACGCCGCAGCCGGAGCGGATCCCGACATCGATGTCGAGGTCTGCCCAGCTGCGTGAGTGACAGCTGGCTCTGCCTATCTAGAGGCAGAGCCAGCTGTACCCGCCCCCTCCCCGTCCGTTCCGCCAGTCAGCGCTGGAGGATCGGACGGGGGAATCCAGCCCCTCCCCTGTCACGGCAGAGAGCTGTGACAGGATCGAGAGGTGAGTGAACTCCGGTATGTGTTCGCTCACCTCCTGATCTACTGAGTCGACCTGTGACCAGTCTCATTGTCACAGGTCGGCTAGAACTATGAGGTGAGTTAAAAGCACTTACCTCCTAGTTCTCCTTTAAGTTCCAGAACCCTCTTCCTACTATAGGGTCTGCTCATTTGCAGTTACTTTGTTATAAAGTTGTTGGAAAGTTTTTTGTTTTTTTTTACATTTTGCATGTAAAAAAAGCCCGATGCGTTAGGGCTTCGCTGGCTTTTTTTTTACCACAGCCATAACACAAGAAAAGGCAATTTGCTCTGTTCCAAATGGGCTCAGTTCCAGCTACTGTGTTCTATGGGCACAGCACAATTCACTGCGCCTAAAAAAGTACTGCATGCATTTTCAGCGCAATTTTACAAATAGTATACATTTCTTTAAAGAAACGGCAGCAAAACATAGCTAAGGATAACAGGGAGAGAATAGAGTTAATAAGGGCTAGCTAAAGATAACACGGCCCTAATTGGAAGTTAAATAGGAAAATAGGTCTCCTGCCCTGCCATACAGAACTGTATAAATTGTAGAACTGGATGGACAGGAATGCAAATCATTTGGCAAGTAAAAGAGTTCCCTTGTATGTATTTAACTGTTTGCCTTGACTTCATATTTAAGCTCTCTGTATGTTTACAGCATAATTCTTTCACTATCACCTGGCGTTGCTTTTGTGATTTATGATATTTTGAAGGATAACATGAGCTCTTAATCATCTGCTCTGAAGGGAAATCTACTCTGATCTTACGATAAGGTTGTGTAATACATTGCCCTTCACTGTCATTTTTCCTTTACAGTGGGTTGTGTCACATGTAGAGAAAACGAAATATGATGACATTTTTGTGAAACTTGACAAAGACCAGGACGGCCTGGTATCTGGTCTGGAGGTCAAAGAGATCTTCCTTAAAACTGGGTTGCCTCCAGGACTGCTTGCCCACATCTGGTAAGTGCAGCAGTAGAACTGCCATCCAAACCAATAATCAGTCTTTAAATAATAAACATTTTCAGTAGATGTACCTGCCTGTTTTTGACACAACGTTCCTGGAGAAAAGGTATTGTCCCTAAGGCTACGTTCACACAGGGCGTTCCGGCATTCCTGTGGCAAGAATCTACGGATCCCTGTGGCAGGAATCCCGGGTGTCCCCATTCAGATGCGGCCACTGAAGTTAATGACAGGATGGCCACATCTGCCAATGGCAGTCCCCATGTAATCGTACATGATACGATTCAATGTAGTTTGGGATAGACACTTGTTCCTGGATGCAGGATAGTTGTGTCCAGAGACAATCACCTAATGTCAGACAGATGTAGCCTCTGTCACCCTCTCATTAATTTCAATAGGTACAGAGGCCACATCTGAATGTGGACACCTGGAATTCCTGCTGCAAGAATCCTTAGGCTCTATCTGCAGGAGTCCCACAATGCAGCATAAGTCACCATATGAATGGGGCGTTAGGTTTTTGTGTCAGCAGCTGAACACCTAGTCCTGCTCAGTCCTGCTTCTGTAGGCTCTGGACAATTAAAGACTAAATTATTTTTATTTACATCCTATAGTTAACCCTTTTCATGAACAAATATCAAGAAGTCACCTGCACTCCATACAGCATATAGACCTTAACAGGAACTTGGTGCTTGAAGTGACAACACGGATGGCACCGTGTCAGAAACAGTCCATAACAAAAGTAACCAGCACTCGAGGATACGTGCAAGAAGTACAGGCACTTGTTTATTGACTTGTCACATGCGTCACGCAGCTGACGTTTCGGGGCCATGCAGGGTCCCTACTTCTGGGCGACATAGTGACCGTCAGTGCTGGTGACTTTTGTTATGGATTATAATAATAATTGGATTATTATTTAGTGTATCCTCGAGTGCTGGTGACTTTTGTCATGGACTGTTTCTTGAACAGTCCATCAGCTCAGAAGTGTTTGTAATTTGCAGTTCCCGGCGTGAAGCTGCAGCAGCTCATAAGAAATGCCCACTGGTAATATGTATTCTGAGCAGAGTTCTTCTTAAAAGGATACTCCCACTTTCTTTAAAAATGTGTCTGTATGTATTGGCCGTGTTGGCCTTTGTTGATATGACTATCCAACTGTGGGCTTATGTTATGAGGACCTGTTTTATTACAGTACCTACTTCTCCTTATCTATAAAACAAAATCTTCTCTGTAATGTGAAACTTGATAATAAAATATTGATTACAAAAATCTATTTTGTAATGTTATTAAAAATGAACACTCTCTTGCAATCTGCATTTTCTAATAATCTTTCTAATCATCATAATTTTCTAAATCATCTGTGATTTTCTAAATCATCTGTGATTTTCTAAAACGGCTTTCTTGTAAACCATACAACATCAGGGGCGTTCTATGGACTTGTTTGTATAAAGAAAAAAAAACAGCCATTGCTCCAAGCTCGCTCCCGTGATGGACTACAATCTCAATACAAATTAGTAAACTAAACGTGAGATTGTAGTCCATCACAGGAGCGTCCTTGGAGCCGTGACTACTTTACAACACACACACACAGGGACCATGGGTATCAAAAGTAGCCACCCTCCAGAAGGAAGCAGTGTCAGCACCAATTCAGAGATGATTTGAGGATCTACAGCCGAGTGATACACAAATAAGATACATTTTTGTTAAAAGTTAAGGTACTTGAATGTATTTAAATTAAACTCTAATTTTCTCTACGGGGAACCAGACACTTGCAAAATGTGCAGCACTGTGATCGGTCCCTTCAAACCCCAACCCCCCCCCTGTATAGTTCTTTGTGAGGTTGCACACCCTTCTCCCAACATCCTTGTGCAGCAGAAGTTTCAGATGCTATTTGATAACATCACAGGCATTATATCATTTTGTTGCTGACTGCAGCTTGGAAATCGTAAATTAAATATGCAAAGCAACTCTGAATGAGGGGAATGACAATGTATTGGCAGCAATAGATTGCTTACTATAGTACCATCACTTTGATGTTTTAGTTATTGAATGAGACTTATGTTTTCTGTTTATTGTTCGAATGCAGGTCTTTGTGCGACACACAAGATTGTGGAAAACTATCCAAAGAACAATTTGCATTGGCTTTTCACTTTATCAACCACAAGCTGTTAAAAGGTACTGATCCTCCTCAAGTCCTCACCCCAGAAATGATCCCACCATCCGAAAGATCAGCCGTACCTAACGTAAGTTGTTTAGAATGTCTACTATTATTCCACTTTGCATCACCAATGTTCACAGTTGTTCTGAGAACGCGCTGTAAAACGCCCAGGTGTGAACCAGGCCTTATGGTGACATGTCTCTGCTCCTTCTCACAAGGCCATTCTTAGAAAGTTGTGTTTCCCAGTTCTGTGATGTAGTCTGTGTCATGGAGAAGCCTGATGCAATGACTAGGCCTTGTAATGACAGAAGAAATTGGTCAAAACTTGGAATTTTGGTAGGGCTGCTGAATTTTCAAGGAGATGCAAGAAGCCAACTTGTAAGTAACCACACAAAACTTCAGTATAGGTTTGGGTACATTCTCCAGGTCCTTAAGTGAATAGAAGAATGTATGACTGCCCTCTGTAAATGAAAGGAAAACGTAACTTCTTGTTATTGTTGATGGTCTTAAAAGGTTCCTAGTACCAGTCATTTTTTGAGGGAAAAAAAATATCAGCTCCCTAATTTAAAAGTATCAAGGGATGTGCACAACGTGACTGGAGGACTGATTCATTACATACAATATTTCACAGCCTTCAGCCCTGTTAAAGCAGACCATGAGGTAAAATACAAGGTCTACTTATGATGTACAGGCCCTGTCCCTCTGAAATCATTAGTGGCTGGTAGTATTTGCAAAATGTACCTGTGAAGAAAAAGTTAGACTTTATACTTCTCTTACCCTGGTCTTCTGTCCATAGCACCTAGGTAAGGATGGCATTACACTCCTTTCCGCAAGACCCTGGGGAATACAGAGTACACCACATTTTGGGAAGCTCTTGCATCAGACCGGAGTGTCTTCTTGCAAGATATGGGGTGCTCTTTGTCGTCGTCCCCAGTTATCTCCCTGGAAGGATAGTGATGTCATCCCCAGACATAATAATTGTATTGCAAGTTTTACTTTATTTTATTTTTTTTGCAAAGTACAAAGTTTTGGGAAATGCTGGTTACAAGTTTGCAGTGTTGAGAAGCATTTACATTGATGAAGAGCTCGTGTATTTATTTTTTGTGAAGATTCTTGTCAATTATGAACAAAACGTCTTTTTTCTTCTGATTTATACTTCAAATTGCCTTAGAGAGCTGATCGTTTCCCGGTATGGAATGTACCTTACTCCTTTTCTCCAGGTCCACTTGGTGTAAGTGAATAGGGAGTTTGCACCCAATAACAGGCTCACTGCATTGTTTTTCTTTTATGGCTTAACTGCAAGAAATGTTTAACTGTATGTTATGCTTTGAATAAAATGCTGCTGTATAGCAGAATATACAAAGTAGATTAACATCCTTTGTGACTTCCCTCTTTTGCTGTGAATGTTTATCTTGCTTGGAGAGTGCGAGCTTAACATTTAAAGTACAACTAAAGCCTTCTCTATGACTGTCTAAATACCCAAATACAGGTACTATGTGATGCACAAACTTCATAATGTAAAAGACTTTTCCTTTACCTCCCTTGATTGTGCCAAGATCGTCTTCAGTAGTGTCTCACGCGCTTTCCGCTGTCTGACACTGCAGCTCACAGTGGGAAGGTTTCAGCAACAGAGGCAGTGCTACCAATTCAGAAAGCGCTGAGCAGGATTAGACATGGCCAGGAGCTGACTGACGAGCCACAGGCTTCTGAATCTGCTGATAGAAGCTCCCCCTGCAATTTATTTTTGTATCCCATTGTATTCCAAGCAGGCACAGCTCACAGGAGAGTGTCAACTCTGCTGTGAATGTAGGAGCAGTGAAGCATCGTGGCCAAACCCATCAGAGGAAGCTGCATTAGGTGGACTTCACTGGCGGGATCAATGGATATTTGGGAGACTTTACAGGGTGTGCTAAAAGAAAACTCTAACTGCAGATGCACTCATAATTAAATGCTGTAGCATATTGTTTTGCATTGAGAGGCCATAGTTCTACTTTAATATCGTGTGTTTATACTGACCATACATTTGGGTTTATCCTTTTGTTTGTCCATGGTATATAAAACACTAATGTGTAAAACAAATAATAATGGGATGTCCGGCAAGCTTATATTGGCATCATGGTTCGGTGCCCACAAGCCAAATAGTGTATAGGTAAATTAGGGATGTACTGATACTAGTATCAGTGCCGATACTGAGTATTTGAGCCAGTACTCACACTCGATACTTCCGGTATCAGAAAGACGGGCGGCTAGTCATTACACGCCGCCCGGCTTCCTGATTGAACTGGAAGCTGGCTCCATGCTCCCTCGCCATCCCTAGTGTAAATCCATCAAATCCCCTCTATTACCCTAGCCAGTGACACCTAGAATAGATCGTGGTGATTGTATTGGTTTTGGTGTCACTGGAACCTAAAATTGTTGTCCAGACCCAACTGAGTGTTGTACCTGGTGGATTTGGGGTGACTGCCTTGCAGTATGTGCACAAGACTGCGATTGGAAAGGGAAGCGCATGTGAAAACCGCACACAGAGAGGTACAATGTACAAATTATATATGAACATTATGCAGATGATTTCCTGGTGGGACCTGAACATGGCACCACAGCACAGGCAAGAGTGCTAAATGCATACAAAATGTTTGGTAACAGTACAGTACCAGTTTGTTTCATGGAGAGGTCCACTTATTGCTATACTGCTATGCTATACTGTACCAAATAACACAGCAGCATATGCATGTGCCAGCTATATCCTCAAATCTTCACACTCCTTTGCATGGAGCCCTCCTCTAATGTTTTTTATGCCTGTAAGTCTTGCCCGACGTTTATGGACAGAGGAACTATGGAGAACTCCAGGCAATACATGGAACTCAGTAATAAGTAAATAGAACAGATAATGTCTGAATTTTTAAATGTTTTGTTTAATAAAGCAACTACTGAACCAAATCCTGCAAGGGATACGTGCTCACTTGGTCCAGGGGACTCATAAAAAGCTGTTTTTACTTGCCTGATCCTCTGTCTGACTGCCTCCCGCCCGGCTGCTATATTGGTCCCCGTGGCCTCTTCTCTCTGGCAATCTACGGACCGCCAACGTCATTGGGTCTTTCGCAGGTCCGTTGACCTGAATTAGATGAGAGGACGCCGGAGAACATTACATAACCGGGGCGGAGGGGGGAAGAGGTGAGCGCTGACCACCGTGGGAGCCAAGATCGGGTACGTCCCCTAAACAAAACGAGCACTTAACCCTTGCAGTCAGGGGGTAGCCCCACTGCAAGAGTAAGTTTTGGGGTTTTTTCTTTGCCCATAGTACTACTTCAACTGAACAAGCTGAAGATAAAATCTGATTGGTAACTATGCAGAGCTGTTCCAGATTCAATTTTAGTAAATTCGCCCCATTGTGTTCTCTCAGTCTAAGGAGGCCCACCTAAATTCAGTGTTGTATATAGCAGCTGGGCACTGGAGATGCTGCACTTTGAATCTTCAGTATACAGACTGCTAGAGCTCATTTTAGAAATGGATAAATGCTAAACTGACACAACCTGGTGTTATGTGAGGTGATGATGAGTTTTGTCTTGCCGGAAGTTCTCCTTTACAATGCAGTGAATTAGTTCTTCAGAAGGCTTGTTTGTTTTCTCCTTGCACTAACCAACTATCCTGGTTTGCTTTCTTTGCTTCCTTCTAGCTTGCTGGACTGTTTATTTCCATCTGCCTCAATCTGCTTTCAGCCTCGCTCTAATATTCCTAACTCTCGCCTGTCCTCTTCTGGCTTTGCAAGGTTAGACCATCTCTTACACTCTTTTGTCACGCTCCTGTTTACCTAGCTTTACATGTATACAATTAATGAAATTACCAAATCGCCCCATTTGGGATGAGCTGGGAAGCCAGATGAAAAGATCTTGCTTCTGGCAGCCCTCATCTAAAAGTTTTACACCAGAGTAGGTTGGAGTGGCCCTGTTGTATTCTGCTGTGTCAGTGACCATTTTTTCTTCAAGTATCATCCTCAATAATTTTGTCAATGTGCAGAATAATATGATAACATGCATATAAAGCCAAGAAAAAAAATAATGTGTTGCAGTTTACCAGTCCTTAGATATGGAGTGTAATATCTAAATTGCCATGACTTCCTGAAATAAGCTAACTTGCTATTCTCTGCTTCCAATGATGATAACGATACAATGGTTAAAAGAAGCAATGGTCTTATTTATTTATACACAAATCTAATCAAACATAATAAAAGATACAAACAGATACAATAAGACAATCAAGAGAATACTTTACACAGCAAGTCCGTCCTCTGGTTCCTATATCCTGGCTGGGCTCAAAGAGAGAGCAATATCGCCGCGCACGGACTTTTATACCCATTCATACACATACATCGACACCCCCTTTACCCAGAATTCCGCATGTCCCTTAAATGTCTTTCGGCCAATCGGCATGGTCCTTCACATTTGTCCACATGCACTGTAGTCCTCCAGCAGGGGGCACCATCGTACTGCAGATCAGTCCTTGGCCTAGGTCAACACCTTGTCCTTTGATCTTTAGACAATGGCCAGTCACATTCATATGCAAAATCCGGATATCTTGACATGTCTTTCCAATGTGCCTACACCCTTATCAACACCCCAGGGTGCAAAGCTTGATGTCTTGCCCCGATGAAGAAATGTCACCTTTCTCATCTCCCCTGCCATGCCCCAGGCATGAACAACACACAGTTGGTCTCTTTGATGAGCAATGCAATCAAGATTTGAAGATATCTGTTTGGCAGCTTTCGTACCTGAAAATGTTGTACACTCCAACATGGAGGCTGCTTTAGTTTTTTTTTTGTGATGTCTATTTCTGGTGATCCTGCCAGTAACATATTTCCCATGCTAGGGTGACAACTATTACTTGCTGTATTGTGATATATGGATGAGCAGTGCTGCTGCTCTAGTTCAGAACATATGCTAGGATTACACCTCACCCTCTCCATCTACATAACATAGGGGAAAGTGTTCTGTAGTTCAGAGATGGGCAGGCAGGGCTGAAAAGACTGCTTTAGATAGCACTGCAGAGTAGACGCGACAGCACTCAATTTCTGGTAGGATCAGCAGGTAT